TGACTCAGGAAAGGCCGGGTCGGCCCTGCTCCAGGGAATGAGCGGAGCAGAACGGCTTCCGCTCCCTGCCTGCAGACCGGCCTTCCGGCCTTCCGTTCACGGCGGGCAGCGAGGGCCCAGGAACCGTTCCCCTCTCTCGGGGCCGCCGGGCCGCGTGTGGACCACGCGCTGCAAGGACAGCAGCAGTGGGGTCTGGTCTGCTGGGGGAGACATGGCCCAGGGCAGGGCTGCGCGGTATTGCTGCCTCTTGCTTCCCGCCTCCTGCCTGCAGTCCTCAGGGTAGGTCAAGGCCAAAGGCTTCTGTGCAGGAAGGGAGGGTCCCCTGCTGAGGTCGGCGGCTGGGTGGAAGGAGGGGGAGCTGCGTTAGCACGTGAGCAGCTGTGTACAGGTGGAATCTGGGCCTTCCCGCAGACGGTCATGCGGGAGCAGCCGGGACAGGTGTGTCTGCAGTTCCACCTCCCCCGGCCCCTCACCCCTCGGCTGCGCACAGCTGCTGCTCAGCTCTCCCATGCCTCGCCTTTCCTGGCCTCTTGATCTGGTGCTCAAACTCCAGCCCCTTCTGACAAGAAGTGTAACAATTTTGGAGGCGTTTTTAAAAAAATATATTAGCCCTAGCTGGTTTGGAGCAGTGGATAGAGCATCAGCCTGGACAGAAGGGTTCCAGGTTCGATTCCAGTCAAGGGCACGTACCTTGGTTGCAGACTCCTCCCCAGCTCAGGCCCTGGTCAGGACTCGTGCTGAAGGCAACCAATCCATGTGTTTCTCTCCCATTGGTGTTTCTCTCTGTTTTCCCCTCTCTCTTCCACTCTCTCTAAAATCAATGGGAAAATATCCTCAGGCCCTAGCTAGTTTGATGTAGTCGGCCTGTGGACTAAGGGTTTCTGGTCAAGAGCATGTACCCAGGTTGTGGGTTTGATGCCCAGGAGGCAGCCAATCAGTGATTCTCTCTCATCATTGAAGTTTCTGACTCCCTCTCTTTCCCCCTTCCTCTCTGAAATCAATAAAAATGTGTTTTAAAAAAGAAAAATGTCATCGGGCAAGGATTAACAAAAACAAAAACAAAACAAAAGCTCTCTGAAAAGGACTCAGATTTTCTCTCAGAGAGAGTTGCTTCTATTAGGGATAGGAAAATACCTAACGTGTAAGGAGGTTTGTGGGTCAGACCAGTGACCAGAGTTCGGTTCTGAAGTCTTGGCTTTTGGGGCCTGGCTGGTGGCTCCGATGGCCGAGTACCTGCCTCCCTCCTCCCAGTGAGGGTCCAGGGCGCTTCCCCCTCCCAGCCGCCCCCGAGCAGCTCTCAGGCCCAGGGCGGCCACTGCTCCGAGGGCCGGACCCCTGACTCGCTTGCTCCTGAGCTCCACCTACATGGAATCCCACAGCCGGTGCTCCGGTGCCGGCGTTCTGCCCGGCGCCATGCTTCTGAGGCTTTCTCTGTGGGCTGAGTCAGGTCATTCTCGTTGCTCAGGAGGGTTCTGTTGTGTGACTTGATGATGATGTTGTTGAGAAGCACTGAGGTTGTTTGAGTTTGGGGTGATTATGAGTAAAACTGCTACAGACTTTCGTGCACAGACCTTTTTTGTGTGCAGGGTGTGCTTTTACTTCCCTTGGTGACACCAGGAATGGAATTGCTGGGTTATAGGGAGGTTTATTTCTAACTTCATAGGAAACGGCCACCAGAAATGTATGGGATTTCCAGTTCTACATTCTTGCTAACATTTAGCGTCATCTTTTACATTGTAGCCACGCTAGTGAAGGTAGAGTATTCCATTCATTTGTATTTACCTGATGATCAGTGATGTTAAATATCTTTTTACATGCTTTTGGTAATTGACTTTTTAAGTCTTTTGCCCATTTCAAGCCTTTTTTTTTTTTTCCTATTTAAGTAATGTTTTATTTTTCAATTACAGTTGACTTATAATATACTATCCTGTTTCCCCGAAAATAAGACAGTGTCTTATATTAATTTTTGATCCCAAAGATGCGCTACGTCTTATTTTCAGGGAATGTCTTATTTTTCCATGAAGAAGAATATGGTACACATTTATTGTTAAATGAAAATAAAGGAAATTGTCGAAACCGGTTTGGCTCAGTGGATAGAGCATCAGTCTGAAGACTGAAAGATCCCAGGTTCGATTCCTGTCAAGGACATGTACATTGGTTGCGGGCACATCCCTGGTAGGGGGTGTGCAGGAGGCAGCTGGTCAATGTTTCTCTCTCATCGACATTTTTAGCTCTCTATCTCTCTTCCTTTCTTCTGTGGAAAATCAATAAAATCTATTAAAAAAAAAAAAAAAAAAAAAAAAAAAAAAAAAAAGAAGAAGAAGAAGAAAAAAAAGAAAAGGAAATTTATTACCTGTGTACGGTACGGTAGTACGGTAGTTGTCAACACAAACCAGACAAACTCTGAATCCTACAGTATCAAGAATTTACTCATTTATTCAATGACAATCATGTCATCATCTTCTGGAACATCATCATAACAATCCAATTCCTGAATTTCCTGGTGAATTTCTTGTGACTCCATTTCTTTCAGAATCAGTGGGCCAAATCTCTCATGTTTAGCAATAGCATTCTGAGACAGAGCCTGGGGGGGGCCTTATTTTCGGGGGGATGCCTTATATTTCACTCAGAAGGAAAAATGTAAGTAGGTCTTATTTTCGGAGGATGTCTTATTTTTGGGGAAACACGGTAGAAGCCCAATGCACGAAGATTTGTGTAAGAACAGGCCTTCCTTTCCCTGGCTGCCAGCACTGCCTTTCCGCTCCGGCCCCCGGAGCCACTTCTCTCCGCTCCTGCCCCGCCTTCCCACACAACGCCCACCAGCCGCTTGGTGCCTGCATATGCAAATTAACCCACCATCTTTGTTGGGTTAATTTGCGTGCTCACTCCTGATTGGCTGGTGGGCATCATGAAGGTACAGTCAATTTGCATCTTTCTCTTTTATTAGTGTAGATTAGTTTCAGGTGTACACCCTAGTGATTAGATAGTATGTCACTTACTAAGTGATCATCCTGATAAATCTCACACCCATCTGCCATCCCACACACAGTTATTGCAGTACTAGGGGCCCAGTGCACGAAATCAGTGCACTCGGGTGGGAGGCGGGCCCCTCAACCCAGCCTGAGCCTCTCGCAGCTTGGGAGTCCTTGAGGGCAGTTGGGTATCCTTAGCGCTGCCACGGAGGCAGAAGAGGCTCCCAGCACCGCTGCTGTGCTCACCAGCCATGAGCCCAGCTTCTGGCTGAGCAGCGCTCCCCCTGTGGGAACACACTAACCACCAGGGGCAGCTCCTGCATTGAGCGTCTGCCCCCTGGTGGCCAGTGTGCATCATAGCGACTGGTTGTTCTGCTGTTGGGCTGTAACCAGCTCTCTGAAATCCCCTGAGGGGTCCTGGGTTGCAAGAGAGTGCAGGCCAGACCAGGGGACCCCACTGGTGCATGATGGATGCTGAGGAGCGATGTGAGAGGTTGACCAGCTGGGGAGGGACCACGGGAGGGCTCCAGGGCATGTCCAGTCCTTCTCGCTCAGTCCCAATTGGCTGGACCCCAGCAGGAAACTAACCTGTAAGTCAGTGCACATCATAGCAACTGGTTGACTCTCTGCCCCCTGGTGGTCAGTGCATGTCATAGCAACTGGTTAATTGGTCAACTGACCCCTGATGGTCAGTGCACATCATAGTGAGAGGTTGAGTGGCCTTAGCATATCATTAACATATTACACTTTGATTGAACAGACAACTGGACACTTAGCATATTAGGCTTTTATTATATAGGATTAGTGACTATTTTCTGTGCTGTACTTTACACCTCACAAGTATTCTGTACCAACCAATTTCTACTTCATAATCTCTTCACCTTTCTTTTTTTTCTATCTATCTATCTATATATCTATTTATTTATTTATTCATTTTTTATTTTTTAAATATATTTTATTGATTTTTCACAGAGAGGAAGGGAGAGGGATAGAGAGTTAGAAACATTGACCAGCTTCCCCCTGCATACCCCTTACCGGGAATGTGCCTGCAACCAAGGTACATGCCCTTGACCAGAATCAAACCTGGGACCCTTCAGTCCACAGGCCGACGCTCTATCCACTGTGCCACATCGGTCAGGGCCCCTTCACCTTTTTTTTTTTTTTAAATATATTTTATTGATTTTATACAGAGAGGAAGGAAGAGGGATAGAGAGTTAGAAACATCGATGAGAGAGAGTCATCAATCAGTTGCCTCTTGCACACCCCCTACTGGAGATATACCCGCAACCAAGGTACATGCCCTTGACCGGAATCGAACCCGGGACCCTTCAGTCCCCAAGCCGACGCTCTATCCACTGAGCCACACCGGTCAGGGCCCCTTCACCTTTCTTTACCCCCACCTAGCACCCTGCCCATCTGGCAACTGGCAAATATTCTCTGTATCTACAAGCCTGCTTCTGTTCTGCTTGTAGGTTCTCAGATTCAGTTGTTGCTAGGTAGTCTTTATTGCCACTTTATTGTTCCTATTCTTCGCCTTTTTCTTTTGATCTCCTTAAGAAGACCCTTTAACATTTCCTGTGCTACTGGTCTGGTGGTGTGAACTCTTGCTTTTCTGGGAGGCTCACATTCTGTCCTTCCATTCTAAGCGCTAGCTTTGCTGGTGGAGTGATCTTGGTTGTCGGTCCGTGTTCTTTTGTCGCTTGGGACGGAGAGGCGGCACAGTTTGCAGACGTGTCGTGAAGCCGCCTGTGTCCTAGCACAGCCCTCGCGGGCACTGGTGCTTCTCGGTAGGCATTCGTTGAAGGGCTGGGTTTTCTTCCTGGCTGTGGTAGATTTGTGGTGAAGTCAACTTGTTTCAAAGCTTTAAAAGAGGACATTTGTGTTAGACGTTTCACTTCTTAACGTGTTCCCTCTGTGGCTCTGTCTCTTTGTTTGCAGGTTCGGCACTTAGAGGGGGTATAGCTCACTGGTAGAGCACTTGACTGCAGATACAGCACTTAATGACGAGCCCGGGCTGCCGGGGTGACGATGGCGGGCTTCCTGGATAACGTCCGCTGGCCGGAGTGTGAGTGCGTGGACTGGAGCGAGCGGAGGAACGCCGTGGCCTCGGTGGTAGCCGGCGTGCTGGTAAGGGAAAGCCCCTTTCGCCCCGAACGTTCATGCCGATTCCTCGGAGCTGTGCCTGCGGTGTGTGTGAATAGTGGGCACAGCCTGGATGCTGTTCCCGAACAGTGTGGAGCGTCCTGGGTCATCCGACTATAAACTTGCTAAATAAAGTCCTCTCCTCCATTTGGTTGGTGATGCAGTTGTTGCAGGCAGAGGCATTTTCCAGCTGCTGTGTAAGTCCCCCAGGGGCCTCAGGGGCCCGGGGTTGGAAGCAGCCGTGTCGCTGCTGGAGGCGTCGGCAGTCGGCTGTGTGCCCGCGTGAAGGCCTCGGCTCCGGGAGCCCAGCCCTTCCCAGCTGCAGCGCCGGAGGCGCGGGAGTGAGAGCTCAGCTTCCGTTTCTTCCCAGCGCTCTGGCTTTCTGTTCTGAGAATGTCAGGCATGTCAACAAAAATAGAGAGACTGCTATAAAGCCCTTCTCCCATCTTACTCCACTTACTTACCATCCAGCCTCAAAAAAAAAAAAAAAATCATGACCAATTTTTCTTTAGCATTCCATCAACCTTTTTTTTTTTTTTTAAATATACTTTATTGATTTCTTACAGAGAGGAAGAGAGAGGGACAGAGAGCTAGAAATTTCGATGAGAGAGTCATCGATCAGCTGCCTCCTGCACACCCCCTATTGGGGATGTGCCCGCAACCAAGGCACATGCCCCCGACTGGAATCGAACCCGGGACCCTTCAGTCCGCAGGCCGACGCTCTATCCACTGAGCCAAACCGGTTTTGGCCATTTTTATTTTTTTTAAAGTCAGTTTCTATTACATTTAAACATTCATCTCTTTGAGTATATAGCTCTATGCCTGAAGTCCAATAGAACAAAATCACAGCAGGAACTGAAGGTAACTGTGAAGCAGTCTGCACCCAGAATTCTTTCAGGTGTTTCTTAGTCTTTCCTGCTTTTCATGGTCATCTCGTCTGCAGTTAATTTGTCTATGAAATTCATTAGCAACGTGTCTAATTTAAGTCCATTCAGCCTAGTTCCTATAGAAGCATTGTTCTTGACAAACTTATGTTCAAACAGGATTTAATCAGATTGCTTACCTAGGACTGTGGTATTTAAATAGTTTTGGAGGCAGGACAGCTGAGAGCTCGCTGGTGGAAGTAGAGTGGGCAGTTTAAGCACAGACTGCTCAGAGCGGGTGAAACACCGTCAGCAGGAGGGGCGGTGGGAGTTAGTCAGCTTTGGTGGTGCCTAATGGCAGTGGGTGAAAGGGTTAGCCCCGTGGTCGGCTCACCGCTGCCAACGAGCCACAGGCGGCTCTTTGGCCTTTGAGTGTGGCTCTTCCACAAAACACCACGGCCTGAGCGAAACTATGTTGAAGAAGTGGCGTTAGAAGAAGTTTAAGTTTAAAAAATTTGGCTCTCCAAAGAAATTTCAATCGTCCTGTTGCTATTTGGCTCTGTTGACTAATGAGTTTGCCGACCGCTGGGTTAGACAATTCCTGCCAAATGATAACTTTTCATCGTGCACTGAGAGCAGAACTTGAGGATCTTACACTGATTTCATCAGCAGCACACTCACAGGAATAAGTAAACAAGGATTCTTATTTTTTATTTTTCAACATCCAAAATTTGAAGCAGAGAGACTTCCTGTGCCGGTGACGGTGGGCGGGGAAGGGGGCAGGGGCAGCAGTGTGCCCCAGTGACCGGGCTCTGTCTCCAGTTCTCCGCAGGCTGGTGGGTGATGATCGACGCGGCCGTGGTGTACGCGAAGCCCGAGCAGCTGAACCCCGCCTTCCACACCTGCGGGGTGTTCTCCACGCTGGCCTTCTTCATGTAAGCGCCCGCAGCTCGGGCTGTCTTCCGGGACAGATGTTTGCCGGAGGCTTCGTGCTGTCTGCCATCTGAAATGACTCTTGTTCAGTTGATGGATTCTTTTTTTGAGAATTTATATGAGAGTTTATATAAGTACTTATCTAAAGGACTTATTTATAAGAACCTTAAATCAGGTGGGGCACCCTGAGTCATCGGGTAAATGGAAGCCAGGCAGGGAATCCACAAAATGGCCTCCCCTCATCTCTGGGGACCAGTCAGTAATCGCTGCACGTTGCGGGTGTTTTGGGGGGCACCGTAGGAAGATAAGACTAGTAGATCCTTTGTGTGCACAGGTATGAAGGTTACTCAGATGCTGACTTGACTTAGGAGTGTTTTCCTTCTGATGGTGTGTAAGCACCTGTGAGTGTCTAAGCACCGAGAAAGCTCATTTTGGGCTTTTGTCTCGTTTCAGGATAAACGCCGTGTCCAATGCCCAGGTGAGAGGCGACAGCTACGAGAGCGGCTGTTTGGGAAGGACAGGTAAAGGCGAGAGGCCTTCCCTGGACAGAGCGAAGCCTCTAGTGCGCCTGGGGTCCGGCCCGGCTAAGTCCTTAGGAAAGTGGAGGTTGCCGCCAGAGGTACCGTGTGTCATGTGACGGCATGGGTGAGGTAAACGTTGCCACGCAGAGCCAGCGGCGGGGCTCAGGCCACTCTTCCTCGGCGGGTGAGGGCCTGTTCCTACCTACGCCGGCCAGTGCTGCTGCCCCGGACGCCGACAGGCAGAGTGAGGCAGTGGAGATGAGGCCAGGGCTGCGCTTTCACGTCTGTTCTGACTGCCCGTATCCACCAGGCCCGCAGCAGCATTGCTTCCAGAGTGTGCTGTTTGTCTGTCTATAAAGCATTTTTCTGGAGTTGGAATTCTTTTTTTTTTTTTTAAATATATTTTATTGATTTTGTACAGAGAGGAAGGGAGAGAGATAGAAAGTAAGAAACATCGATGAGAAAGAGTCATCGATCAGCTGCCTCTTGCACACCCCCCACTGGGGATGTGCCCGCAACCAAGGTACATGCCTTGACCGGAATCGAACCCGGGACCTTCCAGTCCCCAAGCCGACGCTCTATCCATTGAGCCAAACCGGTCCCGGCTGGAGTTGGAATTCTTTTGCATTGTCACCAGTAGCCTTTTTCTTTGCTCAGGTTGTAACACATCTGCTAGAACCACGGGGGCTGTTTCTGTGGGATCTCCATGCTTTATGCAGAAGGCGGGGCTCGAAACTATTTCCCACCTCTAAGGACGAGGCAGGGTTGTGCGGTTATGGCTGGAAATTTGGAGGGGAAGTGGGGTTTGAAAGATGCTTAATATTATAGAACACCTATGTGTGCCGGGACTGGCTGAGTGCTACGCGTATTACCGCATTTAATCGTCCCGGTGTTCCACTTTTAGGCGAAGGAACTAGGGCACAGGCTGCTTAAATAACTTGTCCGAATTCACAAGCGAGTGGGTGGGATTTGAGCTCACCACCTGGCTCTGAGCCCGGCTGTTAGCCACCACACTGCTGTTTCAGTGGAGCATTTGGCTTCTTGGTCTGATGTGGTCATATATATACATGACCTGTGCACGGATTCGTGCACTAGTGGGGTCCCTCGGCCTGGCCTGTGGGGATCAGGCCAAAACCGGCTCTCCGACATCCCCTGAGAGGTCGCGGATTGCTAGAAGGTGCAGGCCAGGCCAAGGGACCTTGCCAGTGCACGATTGGGGCCAGGAAGGGAGTGTGGGAGGGCTCTGGGCTGTGTCCAGTTCATCTTAACCAGTCCTGGTGGGCCGGACACCAGCAGCAAGCTAACCTACTGGTCAAAACATCTGCCCCCATGTGGTCAGTGCGTGTCATAGTGACTGGGTGAGCAGTCGGACACTTAGCATGTTAGGCTTTTATTATATAGGATATGGTCAGCCTGATTAAGTGTAATATATAGAAAATTAAACTCACCAGTTTAAAGAGTACACTTCAGTGAGTTTTGACAAATGCTACAGTTGTGGGACTTTGCCACCATCATGATGTAGAGCTTTGCCATCTCTCAGGAAGTTCCCTCCCCCCTTTATGATTACCCCTCCCCCCACCTCCTGGCCACTCATTTATTTGACAGATGTCGCTGTGCGTTATGTGACTAGTAACTGTGTTCTGTGGGAAATTTCATTGCACCTTCCCTGGGTTCTTTAGCGTGAAGGTAGGACATGGATTAGCGGGGCTCTCTCTGGATCCACAGTCCGTGCTTTCACCCTCTCTCAGCCATTGCGTTTTATCCCATGACCATTCCCTACGCAGTGGAAGCGTGCCAGGTGGTGTCTGTGTGTTTCTGTGTTGCATGCGGCGGGAGGGCCTGAGAAGTGAGGGCTGAGGGTTGGTAGGCTTGCTCACAAGTGGCACCACACTGAGTTACAGCAGGATTGCAACGTCGGTCCTTACAGCTCTCCTTCCTTCATGGCGATGGCTACCTGACACACCTTTGCTACTTCTACCAGAGCAATTACTTTGGCAATGGGCTAGTTTACAACTGGGTACATTTTCAGTTAGGGTTTAATTAATCCACTTGGTCAAATAATTACAAAGCTGCCTGGTTCAGTTCATCCAGCCGTTAGTTTCTCTAGCCAGGAGAAAGTAACGTTCCCTTTGAGTTTTTAAACACCTTCCTTCGGTTAACTGCTGGAGCAGACGCATGTAAGCATGTGACGTGTGTGCCGTGCAGTGTGTGCGAGGTCCGCAGCGTCTCCGGCGTTAGGTTTCCCCAGGACGGAGTGCGGGGGCGAACTCACACGGCTGTTCTTCACGCAGGTGCCCGCGTCTGGCTCTTCATCGGCTTCATGCTGATGTTCGGGTCGCTCATCGCTTCCATGTGGATCCTCTTTGGCGCCTACGTTACCCAGAGTGAGTACGCAACCCTGTGAGCTCGCCGGCAGGCGCGGGGTCCTGATGCTCGGCTGAGCCTGTCCCCGCTGGAGGGACCTTTAGTCAGCGCTCAGGCGCTTGTGGGGGGAGACTGCAGGAGTCGTGGCAGGGGCTGTGGAGGGATGTGGGTGGCCTGGCCGGGACACGCCCCACCGGCAAGACCGTGGCACAGAGGCGGGCAGTGCGAGGGGACGGGGGGGCTGTGCTGACACACCACTGCTCCCGAGTGTGTCCAAGGTGTGTCGTGTGTGCACTCAGAACACTGATGGCAGTGCGAGTGCGCTCCCCGGGAGGAAGCACATCTGAAAGCAGCTTTACTGAGACGTGGGTTCACGTCACGTGATTCGCCATCCAGCATACAGCTCGGTGCGTGAGTACAGAGCTGTGCCCACCTCCAGGTCCGCTGTAGGACTGGTCACCCCACAAAGCCCGGCCCCCTAGCGGTCCCTACCGCCACCCTCCCCTGCTCCCGGGTTCTTGTCCCAGCCTTACAAAGGGTTCAGCATTCTGGAGAAAGGGGCTGTGTTCCATTAAGAAGGAGTCCAAAGACGAATGGTAGTTTTGAAAGGCATTGGGAGTCAGGGGAGCTTCAACTAAAGGAGCTAAAGATTCTCCTTGTCTTAGGACCCCTTGCTTTTTATTAATACAATTTGTCCCGAGGCAAGGTGGAGACATATGCTTCAAAGGGTAAGGCTTCAAAGGGGAGGGTTTCATACAGAAGCAGTGTCAGATTGGGGAAGAGCCTACGGCTGTTCAGGTGTTTGGTCAACAGGAGGCAATAACATGCCCCTAGCTGCCTGGTAGCAGATGATTATCCTATTCAGGTTTGGGGGAAGTGCCTTTTAGCCGGTCCAGACGATCAGCCCTGCCTGCATGCTGCACGTGGCTCCCGGCACCTGCCCCAGTGGCCCCTGCTCCGGCTGCTTTGCCTGTGGTGTGAGCTGGTCCTGAGGAAGCGTGCTCTCAGCTCTCTGACCCCTGTCCGCTCTCTGACCCCTGTCCCTCTCATTCCCCTGTCCCCTCTCTGACCCCTGTCCTCTCTCTGACCCCTGTCCGCTCTCTGACCCCTGTCCACTCTCTGACCCCTGTCCCCTCTCTGACCCCTGTCTGCTCTATGACCTCTGTACGCTCTCTAACCCCTGTCCCCTCTCATTCCTGTCCGCTCTCTGACCCCCGTCCACACTCTGACCCCTGTCCGCTCTCTGACCCCTGTCCCTCTCATTCCCCTGTCCCCTCTCTGACCCCTGTCTGCTCTATGACCTCTGTACGCTCTCTGACCCCTGTCCCCTCTCATTCCTGTCCGCTCTCTGACCCCTGTCCCCTCTCATTCCCCTGTCCGCTCTCTGACCCCTGTCCGCTCTCTGACCCCTGACTCGTGGGCTAGGCCCGGCTTCCGTGGAGAGGCTGCGTGGCTCCTTGAAGGAGCGCGTGAACAGCTGGTGTCTGTTGAAGCCGCGTGTGGGAGGTCCGGGCAGTGTGGGCTGCACTCGGCTGCGTCTTAATCGCTGAAGAGCCAGCACGTGGGCCCGGCCTCGCCCGTGTTCCTCTCGTTGCCAGTCCGTGCGCTCTGCTCTCCTCCCTCCGTAAACGGGATGCGCAGGCACCTCGGAGCCCTTCTCTCCGACACACGTTCCTGTCTGTCCCTGCAGGCGTCATCACTGTCATCGCAGCAGCATGCAGCCCCGAGGCCGGCCTGCGCTTCCCACTGCGTGGCCACCTCCCTCGCCCCGGCTGCGCGCTGCCCATGCCCATTTCCCACAGGGGAGACCAAGGCATGAGGCCTGAACCACCCGGTGCCGTGCGCTCAGCGGCAGCTGGCATGCCGGCCAGGGTCGGCTCAGCCCTGCGCTCCGCTGCCGCTGCCGTGCTTGCTGAGGCCGCAGGCCCACGCGGACGTGCCTGCCGGCGGTGTTTCTCTCGCACCGTGGCCCACAGACCAGCTGTCCCCGGGATGGGGCAGTTCCCGCGGGGAGACCGGTGGGAGGGCGTGGTGGGGATTACGATGGCCCTTCTCCCTGCCGCACCTGCACGCAGACCCAGGATCGAGAGCGAAAGAAACGGTCGGACCTGCGTCACCAGGAGCTCCGCTCGTGCCTCTGTGTCTGTCCCGGGGTGGAGGGGGCGTCCGGAGGGAGAGCGGGCTTTGGTTTGGGCATGAGAGGAGCGTTTCTGGTTTCAGTGTCGTGATCGCCCTCTCAGAGGAGGAGTGGCCGCAGGTGTGTGGCGCACGGCCGGTCAGTGCCGGGCGGTCACGCGTGGCCTGGGTAACCGTGTGCTGTCCTCTGCAGATACCGATGTTTACCCAGGGCTGGCGGTGTTCTTCCAGAACGCACTCATATTCCTAAGGTAAGGTGCCGGTTTCTCAGCCACACTTAGAACGTGTGCGGAAATGCCATCTTTCCAGCAAGGGCAGCGAGGACGGTGGGTCTCACACACGAGCCCTTAGACGAGGACCGTGCGCAGAGCGTCTTAGAACGGAGCCGTCTGTGGTGGAGAGCAAGCACGACCGGGGAGCCAGGGGCCGCTGTGTGCCAGGCCGCGGCGGCGGCTTCCTGCTGGCCCCTGATTCCCGTGGAGTGACCTTAAACGTGGAGAGCAGGGTGCTCGCATTTCATGCACGCAGAAACAAGGCCCAGCTGACCGAGACGCCCCGCTGGGGTGCGGAGCTAACAGAGGATGCCCAGCCAGGGGAGGGTGGTAGTGGTGGTGGTGGTGTGCAGAGCTGATGGAGGGACGCCCAGTTGGGGGTGCAGAGCTGACGGGGGATGCCCATCGGGGGATGGTGGTGGTAGTGGTGGTGGTGGTGTGCAGAGCTGATGGAGGGACACCCAGTCGGGGGTGCAGAGCTGATGCTGATCCCAGGTCGCTGATTCCATAGCCTCTGTTTTCTTAAAAAACAAACAAGCAAAAACCATAGGCAGCGCCTTTGTTTACAAAGAGCCGGATGCGTGTGCCTGCTGTGCACACCGGGTGGGAGCTGGCCTTCCCGGGCCGGCCCAGGCTTCCCTCACGCCTGCTTCTGTCCTCAGCACGCTCGTCTACAAGTTCGGGAGAACTGAAGAGCTGTGGACCTGAGATCTCTGACCTCCTGCTCGCCGTCTTCTGTTGTCGATGCCTTTGTTATCTATGTGGCTCTCACCTCGCCAAGTCGCATAGGTCGTCCATTAAATGTTGTGTTGCTTTTCACTGTGTGCTCTGAGTTTTGAAACAGTTTTATGAGTTTCTGCTTTTTGATGACCAGATTGTTGATATGTACACCAGACGGCACAGTATCGCCTTTGACTCCTGCAGAGGCAGCTCCGCGTCCCGCGTCGGGGTGTCGTCACGTGATTAGTTAACTGCTTTGCTTCAGTCCCCCAGATGTAAAGAAGATGCCGCGCCATGCTTCTGAAATAAGCGCCGAGCCGTTCAAAGGTGTTTCAGAAATTGTAACTTATTTTGTCTTAAAAATGAGATTTTTTAAAGGAAATGTTTGTTCTTGTGTATTGAAGAAGTGGATTTTTCTATGAAGAATTTTTAAATGCCTGAAGGACTGGTTTGAAAGCCTCTTTTGGACGACTCCTTGGCTGTGACTAATTGAGGAGGGGGCCCCGGTGCGCTGAGCCCACTTCTGTGTGGTTCCATGAAGATGGGGCAGCGGGCGGCTCAGCAGCAACGTCTGACACCGCGAGGGGCGCGAGCGAGGCCGAGGCAGCTGCGCTCAGAAGCATGGCCGCATGGCCCAGCGGACTGTTCAAGACCCAGTCCTTCTTCCCCAGGGAGTCTGACCTGGTGAGAGTGAGGGTCCGCGTAGTTCCCTGCAGCTCTCGGCTCCGGCTCTGGGCGCCCTGCAGGGGCCTCTGTCCTGAAGCGCCGTGGCCCCCAGACAGCCGTGCGCGGAGCTGGGAACACCGCCCGGTGGTCCTGCCAGAGTGGGTCCCTGGCCCTGCAGGTCTGTGTCACATGTTTGCCTCCGGGGGTGTCACAGCCTTTCAGGAACGGTGCTGTCGGTGAGCCGTCTGCAGCCGGGGGCCGCGGGCGCCCCTCCGCAGGACCTCCCGTGGAGCAGTGCCGACGCTGAGCCGGGCCCTGCGGCCTGTCCTGGCGGCTGCTTTCTCACTGCGTGTGTCAGTGCGTTTGTCTCGCTTCAGCACGTTGTCAGGCTGATGACATGTTCCCGATCTCTGTCACCTGTTGCAATAATCGCTCCTCACACACCCTGATATGATTAAATCTTGGAGAAAAGAAGCCATACCAATTGGTTTGCTGTTTATTTTTTTATTATTTGAGGGGATCCGTCAGAGAAGCAGTTTCTCTTTATGAAAGAAGGGGGGTGGAGGAGAGGCTGTTCCCCGCCGGCCCAGCCTGATGGGGGTGGCCAGCAGCTGACGCGTAGGCTAATCCCCGGGACCCTGCCCTGCCCAGCACCTCCTCCTGCAGGCCCAGCTGCAGTGAGCCCCGAGCCTGGCAGCACCACCTGGGACCGTGACCCCGCCCCCTTCACACTAACTCGTGGGCACCTGCCAGGCTCCAGGATCCCACCGTCCTGCCGCCCAGCGTGTGCCCCGTACGCAGCTTCCCCCAGTGACAGGCTGGAGCGGCCCCTCCCCCGGTCCCGCTCTTCTCCGCTCCGGGCTGTGCTGTCTCGGCTTCCCCTGTCCACGTCCTCCTGGCGGCCGGCAGCCGGGAGAGGATCGTGGGAGCCCGGCTGTCCACTGCTGTGCGGGGCGGTGGCCCTGGCGTTAGATGCGTGTGGGACACCCCAAGGCACAGGCGGGACCCCTCACTTGTCTGAGGACCTGCGCCAGCAGCGACTGGCAGGAGGGAAAGTGTGGCGTGGCTGTGGGTGCCCCCTGCTGGGCGGTTTGCTGCCCAGCGCAGCCCAGCCAGAGGCCGCACACGCCACCTGTGCCCAGCGTGAGGGGCCTGGCCCGGCTCCCTCCCCGGCAGGGACGGGAGGGAAGGTTTGCAAACGGAACGTGGCGCGGGACGCCGTGTCCAGGCTACGCCCGCCGGGGCAGTCCCGCTGCTGCCGGGCGGTCTGCTGCCGACGGGGGCGCCTCCGCAGACAGCACAGGGCCGGCGCCGGGAAGTGTGGGGAGCCCTGTGGTCACAGGGACCACGCGGCCGTGAGGCTCCTGGACAAGCAGGAGCCTCCGCCTCCGCACACCAGCCAGGGAGCAGGCCCAGGCTCGTCTTACGGCCCCGTCTGCTCACGCCTTTTTCTCACATGGACAGGCCCCGTCCCCGCTCCGTCTGGGGGGAGCTTTACCGGGAGGGTGGACGCCGGCCCAGGCGGGAGGCGGCTCAGGGGCTCCTCCGGACGAGAGGTGTGCCCGCCAGCGAGCCGGCCGAGGTTCAGCGTTCCCCGGAGTCTCCCGTGAGCGCCGCCGCCAAAAGGCCGGTGTGGTGTCACATGGGGTTGCCTCTACCTCCTTACAGGCCAGCCCCCCGCCCTCTGGGGATGGTGGTTACTGGGTCGGGAGGATGGGGGGCTGCAGGGGGCAGCACATCGGGTGTTAGGGATCCCGTGTGGAGGGTGCCCGCCCCTGTGAGGCAGTAGCCGTGGTGAGCCTGACCCCTGGGCTCAGGCTCTCGGCCTGTCACCAGGTTAAACCGCTGCTTTGGGCCCTAACCGGTGTGGCTCAGTGGATAGAGCATCAGCCTGTGAACTGAAGGGTCCCAGGTTCAATTCCGGTCAAGAGCATGTACCTTGGTTGCAGGCACATCCCCAGTAAGGGGTGTGCAGGAGGCAGCTGATGGACGTTTCTCTCTCATTGATGTTTCTATCCCTCTCCCTTCCTCTCTGTAAAAAAATAAATGAAAAATAAAAAACCAAAACCGCCGCCTTGGACTCTGAAGGGCCTTTCTGAGTGACCTGCCGCCCCGGGACATAGCCCGAATCCATCCGGGCTGGGTCCAGCCGGGTCAGAATCCGCCCCCAGGGCCAGGCGCCTGTCCCTGCCCCGCCAAGCCGTACCCGCTTTTTCTTAGGAGGCACATGTGAGCTTACTTCCAACTTCACTTCTAACTTCCTGGCAGAACTGATCTGCCCCCTTTCTGCAGGGCTCCAACTACTTATTGTTAATCCTCACCCAAGGATATTTTTTTTTTTAGAGAGAAAAAGGGAAAGACAACATTGATGTGAGACACATTGATTGGTTGCCTCCCACACTGTAACCTAGGTACATGCCCTTGACTGGAATCGAACCCAAGACCCTTCAGTCCATGGGCCGAAGCTCTACCCACTGAGCAAACCAGCCAGGGCAGGGGCTTGACCTCTTTTAATTTAAAAATATATTTTTATTAGTCTCAGGTTGGAAGAGGGAGAGATAGAAACATCAATGCTGAGAGAGAATTATTTCATCACTGCCTCCTGCACGCCCCCTGCTAAGCCTGCAACCTGAGCCTGTGCCCTTGATTGGAATCGAACCCAGGACCCTTCAATCCACAGGCTGACGCTCTATCTGCTGAGCAAACCAGCCAGAGCCAGGGCTTGAACCCCCCCTTTTTTTTATATATATATATATTTTATTGATTTTTTTTTTTTTTTTTTTTTTTTTTTACAGAGGAAGGGAGAGAGAGAGCTAGAAACATCGATGAGAGAGAAACATCGACCAACTGCCTCTTGCACACCTCCTACCGGGGATGTGCCCGCAACCAAGGTACATGCCCTTGACTGGAATCAAACCCTTCAGTCCGCAGACCGACGCTCTATCCACTGAGCCAAACCGGCTTCGCTGGGGCTTGAACTCTTAACCGGCTCCTGCTGCTGCCAACAAGCCTCCTGGCAGGCTGCAGGGGGCGCTCTTCTACCTCGAATGATCCCAGGCAGGCCCTTGGTTTACAGCTACTGACTTCCACACCCGGGCCAAGCGAGGTGCAGAGGGTGGGTGTCCTTTTACCTCCTGTCACCCGGATGGCAGGACACTGCTCGGTCAGAAAGCCAGCCCATGAGACCCTTCCTCACCAGCTGGACAGACGAGAGAGAGAGAGAGAGAGAGAGAGAGAGAGAGAGAGAGAGAGAACAGACGCCATCAGTTCATGCTTGAAGCTTCATGTCCCCACAATCGCTGTCTTCTTCCCATTTGAGGTCAGGCGGCTAGGAGGGGCCTTTCTGAAGCAGACTTTACATCCTGTGTCGCTGTGTGTGTGTGTGTGTGCGCACTACACATCCCCCTTCTACATGCCGAGTCATAGGAATGAGTCTAACCCGCGTGCTTGGAGCAACAGAGCCGCCAGCACTCCCGCAGTCAGGAGACCCGTGCTGTGGGCATGGGTACTGCCACCAGCCGATTCTCGGTGCTGCCCACAACCCGCCGTGACCAGCCGTGTGACCATCACAGGGAATGAAGGTGACACGGCTTCTACCTTGTTTCCCCAAAAATAAGACCTACTTACAGGTTTCCTTCTGAGTGAAATATAAGGCATCCCCTGAAAATAAGGCCCCCCTTAGGCTAAACATGAGAGATTTGGCCCACTGATTCTGAAAGAAATGGAGTAACAAGAAATTCACCAGGAAATTCAGGAACTGGAATATTATGATGATGTTCCAGAAGATGATGACATGATTGTCATTGAATAAATGAGTAAATTCTTGATACTGTAGGATTCACAGTTTGTCTGGTTTGTGTTGACAACTACCGTACTACCGTACCGTATACAGGTAATAAATTTCCTTTATTTTCATTTAACAATAAATGTGTACCGTGTTCTTCTTCATGGAAAAATAAGACATCCCCTGAAAATAAGACGTAGCGCATCTTTGGGAACAAAAATTAATATAAGACACTGTCTTATTTTCGGGGAGCACTATTAGGTGAAGGGCCATAGTAGGGGGAGAGCCGGAGGGGGAGGGAAGAGGAGGGGAGCGAGCTCCTGCTGAGGGCTCTCAGGCCACGCCCCCGGATGACATGGCCACGCCCCCGGTGACCACGGCCACGCCCCGGCCTGGCTACACCTTTCAAGGAACCAGGCGGCCCACGCTACTGGGTATACTTGAACCCGAAGGCCAGGTGAGGTAATTTAAAAACGTGAAACTCAGAAAACAGCCAAAGTAAGAAGGCAAAGCGGAGAGGGGAAAGCTCCCAGAGACG